CGATATCGTCGTTCTCGTAATACAGTACGCAACAGTTAAAATCTCGAACACGCGTGCCACCTTCATATTTCTCAACAATCTCTTTTTTCAGTTCCATTGTGATTCTAGTCATATTTTTTAGTTTTATGTCGCTTTTCATTTACCCTTTTGCGATTCATGACTCATAAAAATAATAAAATTTTACATACAAATTAAAACCAGAAGAAATTTAACCAAGTTATAAACCATTGCACCGCGAACGTCTAGTCTGGTCTAGTACACCGATAGTGCTACTTGTTCGTAGATGGCCCATATAATTGAATTAAGTCGTATACCGAACAAAAGTCGTATACCGAGAAAAATTTATTTCGTCCAAACAGAACGTATTCCAAATTGGACGTATTCTAAAGCATACGTATACCGAGGTACCACTGTATCTTATTGTATCGAATCCTTGCATATCGGATAATCGTAAATCGATAGGTCAGCGTGGTATCTTACATGTTCGCCAGTCATTCTGTCGACGCTGTGAGGCATGCGTCATGTTTGGTGATCGTTCTTTTAAGAAATTCTGTAATTATCCTTTATTACAGATTTTTTTCTATGTTTTCTGTCATAAGTCATTATTGTGTTTGCACCTCAACACTTCATATTCGACAACACCTTCTATGAGCAGAAATGTTTGTTTTGGTGTGTTTTTACCCCTATAAACTTCTGCCCACATTTATCGCAAATAACCAGACGTCAATTCGCCTTTAGTTTACGACCATTGAATTTAGTTTACTAGTATATTTAATTAAGTTAACTTCTTCGTAAAATTGTATTGTCTGTTAAACTAAACTATATTAATAAAAACAAAGTAATATTGCATATAATTTAGTATTTGATTTCACACATTCAGAAAATGTACATGTACTGTACATGACAGACTTAATGAATCATGATTAACTTTATTCTATATTAATATTCATATATTTTCAATCATTATTAACTTCTATATCAAGTTTGACTTTTCATTCGGCTACAACTTGAAAAATTGTACACCTATAAATTCTAACAGTAGACTGTCCGTCACTTCTTCCTTAATTTCGAAAAGGGTATTAGAAGAAGAAAATCTAGACCGGATATCGAAAGACTAGAGGCAGCAGATTCGTAAGATCATTCGGTCTTAAACGGAAGTCACGTATTTCAATTCAAATACTGTATTTTCTTTACATATATGGCCGGCATGAGGTTATCATTAGAAAAAGTGATATGTATACGAGCACGAAAATACTAATATGAGGTCGAAAGCTTAACTTATAATATGATTAAAAATTTCAGCCTGGTATTTCCGTAAATATTTACTGATAGTTATGCTATAAAATAAAATTTTTACTCTTAAAATAAACTCGTTTCGTTTCAGAAATACTCTTATGGATAAAAATTACTAATAACGACACTTGGTTCTAGTTCACAACTGGCCATATTTTGAGGACTTTTTATTTGTTTAACTGGTAAAGAACCAGTTTTCATAGAATATTCTATTAGCAAATAGGTACGCACGGCAGTGTGCACATTCTGGTGTTTTTATGTAAAATATTCTAAATTCACTTGCAATTACTACATTTATTTGTTAATAAATTTGCCGGATGATAGTAATTAAAGCCTCATTATACAACACTGGCTAGAAATATATTTAACAGTCTAAATGCAATTTAATTTAATGTGGTGATATTTCAGAACACACAAAAGAGATTTTGGTGAAAACTTAGGATTAAAACGCACTAATATCACATTTTCGCCTATGCATACAATGTAAAATTACATAAAGTTAATCGTAGGGTAGCATAAATTGTGATTTATTAAGGTCGCGATACAAATTTGGCAACCTTACACGGTACTAATATTGATACAGTGGAGGAAAAACGCATCACAAAGAATTATACTCAACGTGTTAAAGATTGTTCAGAGCCTTCAGATATTACCCCTTCAGAACAGGAATATGTACTGTATCTTAGGTCAGCATTATACACAAACGAATTTGTACGCCAAAAATTCTCATAGAGGAAAGTTTTTGATGATAATTTTTGACGAAAATGCATTGCACGGGTTTTGAATTGTCACCATACAAGATTCGGTTGCATAAATTGCAAAATATTTCTACAGGCGACGTTGATTAAAAGAAATATAATTATTGCTGGTGGTTTTGAAGTATAAACAAAACTTAATTTGTCTGAAACTTATTTAAAAGTTTGATGTTAAATATATATGTTTATATTTACCTACTTAATATAAAATAAGTAAAAATTAAAATTTCTACTCATAACATTTTTAAGCGAAAAAAGAAGTTTAATCAATTAGTGAACAGCGGTAAATGTATTTACCACTTATCTCCAATTAATTGAAAGGAAACAATTCTTAAGAAACTATTAATTTTCTAGTCAAATAATTTTAAAACTTATACAGATCTATAAATGAAAAATAAATTATAATAACGACGTCACATATTATTAATTTTATCTTCGAGTTATAAAAGTAATTATAAATGGTGTCAAATTAAAATTATGCAAACTGTACATACACGAATGGTGCGTTGAAATGATGAATCAGAGAATATAGTATATTCTCCATTTTCGGCAGCCTTCACTAATTCAGTAAATGTTCTGGGCACATTTTCTCGATCGGGAAAAGTGATAAAAGACATTAGTGCACCGCTGTAGCTAGCGGTAAGAATAAATATTGCAAAAATCCATCCAGAGACAATCAGTCTGCGACTGTGGCCGGAAGATGAAAATAACTCATTTCCTGCCGTTATTAATACATCATTATTGCATGGTATTTGTTGAGTTAAATCATTATTTATATAAATGCTCTTACCTTGATTACAAAATGATCCAAATAACGCCCAAGCAATATCGTATGCTTTTGAATGTTTTCTTTTTCTCAATTCTTCATTTTTTTGAAATATTATTGTGAATAAAATCACAGAGATAATAAATACAAAAAGCGTTAATAACCACATCTGTAAATAAATAAGAAAAACATTATTATTACATAAATAAGATGGAGATAGATGAAAATGGTATTGTTTTGTTAAAATATTTATATATATATATATATTTTTTAGTTTTAAAATTCGCTAACAGAACGTGGACGGTCTTTGGGCATTACTTTTTATTAGATTATTCTTTTACGAAAATTAAGTTAATGTTTTTAGTGCGTTACAATAAATTTTAATGAACGAATTGCCTGCAAAATTGCCACATTACTGACAAGTTAATATAATATAAACCAAATGAAACCGACTATATCGCTTTTGTATATAGGGGAGAGTCGTAAAGTCCGACCATTACTAGTTTCTCGCTATTGGAATTACTGGAACTAGTCCCAGATTTCTATAGGCATACACAGAAGAATATCACAATCACAGGTCATGTACCTGTACTTTGGGACTATTTTGTTTGGTTAGGGATGTAGGAAGCACGAGCCCAAAAATGTTTGTTGGTATTTAGTGTGTCAAAAGTTATTTTCGCTGCTTTGAGTTTACTTTGGGGATAATTATTTAATTTCATTTTATGATGTATTTTATCTATAGTAATATTAGATAAGGATAAATCGAGTTAGTTTCACTGTATAAAACTGTATACAATGTATACAGTTTCCTAATTGTTACTTACGTGGCAACGTTCAATACCGACCACTTACCTGTCGTTCACAATCGACAAAAAATAATTTAAGATAACAGTCTCAGTTTTTTCTTTTCAATACAGTGAGAAATAGCAGAAAATAAGGAAAAGAAAAAAGTAAAATAGACAGAGACTTGCATGAACATGACAATAGATGATGCTCTGTGATCAGAGAATAGTGATTGTATATGTTTTTTTACATCATGACTTTATCATTTACATCATTTGAGAAAAAAAAATTTTAATGCTTTAATATANTTTAGTGTGTCAAAAGTTATTTTCGCTGCTTTGATTTTACTTTGGGGATAATTAGTTAATTTTATTTTATGATGTATTTTATCTATAGTAATATTAGATTAAGATAAATCTAGTTAGTTTCACTGTATGAAACTGTATACAATGGATAATCTCCTAAATGTTACTTACGTGGCAACGTTCAATACCGACCACTTACCTGTCGTTCACAATCGACAAAAAATAATTTAAGATAACAGTCTCAGTTTTTTTTCTCAATACAGTGAGAAATAGCAGAAAGTAAGGAAAAGAAAAAAGTAAAATAGACAGAGACTTGCATGAACATGACAATAGATGATGCTCTGTGATCAGAGAATAGTGACTGTACATGTTTATTTACATCATGGCCGGCATGAGGTTATCATTAGAAAAAGTGATATGTATACGAGCACGAAAATACTAAGAGATCGAAAGCTTAACTTATAATATGATTAAAAATTTCAGCCTGGTATTTCCGTAAATATTTACTGATAGTTATGCTATAAAATAAAATTTTTANGCAGAAAGTAAGGAAAAGAAAAAAGTAAAATAGACAGAGACTTGCATGAACATGACAATAGATGATGCTCTGTGATCAGAGAATAGTGACTGTACATGTTTATTTACATCATGACTTTATCATTTACATTATTTGAGAAAAAAGATTTTTAAATGCTTTAATATATTTTAAAAATAATAATAGTATCAAGTTGCTGAATTCAACTCCTTGGATACATTTGTTTTGCTTCAAATGCAACTAAGAAATTCACAAAAATTTATTTTTTTGTATGAAATAACGGTTAATGTTATCCTAGGTATCGAGATGGCGACGTTTCCGGTAATCTCGTATCGGGGTACCGAACGACGCTTACGATAGAGGGCGCTGAATTTTAATGCGGCGGGATATGCAAATTAATTCCGCTAAACGGATGAGGGGCCGCGTGCGCGTGCGAAAGTTCGAATTGCGTGACGACGACGACTACGAAGAAGAAGGTCAGTTTGTTACAGGAATTTGTTTTGATTTCGTTTAAATCGAAGGCGGTTTTTTGTTTTTCCCCCCATTAATTATTTTTTTTCCGAATGAGTGATTTGGACATTACCTCCAGAGAATTTTGGCGGGGATGTACCTCCCAGGACTTTTTCAGTCCTCTCGAAAGCGACTATCTCGAGTTGGGTCTGGATCCCAGAATCGACAAAGGGTTTAAATTTGCGGTAAAATTAGGATTACAGCATGTTGCCGACATTTGCTCGAAATGTTCGAAACCTTGCAAAATCGTTTATCGCGACGATAGGAAATCGTGTGCAATGAGATGTCAAAAATGCTGTAACAACAGTTCGGCGTTCGAAGGAACTTTCAAAGGCAAATTCGGCAAAATTCTCTGGAGTAGTATACTATCGTTTGTGTGGCATTATTTAGCGTTGGATTGCTCGACTACAGTATCGGCTAACGCTGCTGGAATTTCTAACAAGGCCGCAGTCGACTGGTCGAACCACGTCCGATTCGTAATGCTAGTAGCTTTGCACAATATCCTGTCGTTCAAAATCGGAGGTCCGGGAAAAACTGTCGAACTGGACGAGACGGTTATCTGTAAGCGCAAGTACGAAAAAGGCCGTAAACTGAAGAGCACAAAGTGGGTAGTGGGCGGAATATGCCGAGAAGACAAAAGCTGCTTTGTATGTCAAGTGAACGATAGATCAGAAACAACGCTTAACTGGATCGTATGTAAATTCGTAAACTCAGGCAGCACCGTTTTGACGGACGAATGGAAGGGTACAACCACATAGACGACCTGGAAGGCATTGAAATCACCCACGAGACGGTTAATCATTCGGAGAATTTTGTAAACCCGAAAACTGGGGTTCACACCCAAAACATAGAGAGATTGTGGGGATACTTGAAAAACAAGAAAAATCTACCGAAACATTACACGGAAGACCTATCGGATTCGTACATGTACAGCTTCATGTATAAAAAATACCACGATTGCCCTCAAAAAACCAGGCGAATGTTTCTACATTTTTTCGCAACGTTTAAGTAATATATTTCCCGGATCCGGAAGATTACCATTATGGGAAGACCCCGAGACTGTGCCCGCCGCTCCCGTTAATAAAAGGAAGAAGGAAGAAAACGCGGCGAAACAAAAAGGGAAAAACAGGAAAAACGAGGAATCAAGCAAAAAGTAGGAAAAAACGGAGAAAGAGAGAGATAAGCACGCGAAAGTAAGTAAAATATTAAAATTTTTTACGCATTATTTTTTCTTTATATGTATGAATTTATGTTTTAGTAATAAGAAAGAATTACGAAATATTATTATTATTATTATTTCGTAATTCGCTTTGTTTCACTTTTGGGGGGAGTCGGAGCCACTGCCGCAGCCGCCGAGTTCGCAAACAAGATGGCGACCGGAAGCGCCGACCGAGTTGGCGACCGACGCCATGTTCGATACCTAGGGTAACATTAACCGAAATGACTATTACCACTTAAACGTGAATCTGACATCAAAAGAATTGCCGGGAAATAATTCCTGCGAAATAAAAACCCCTTCAAAAAGTGTTTTTACAAAAAAGTATATAAAAAATAATAATAATTTAAAATAAATGCTTTTGTTTGAAAAATATAGCTTTCATTTAACATGGCGTGAAATTTCACACGTGCAGTATGCATTGTTTACAAACTGGTTGACCGTGAGAACAGCTGTAGTCCACTTTCCCGGGTAGTTGTCATGTACACTTCAGGAAAATATTGGTTTAAAGCAGGAGGTTTATCTTACCGCATCTGTTCAAATATAACACAAGATTGTCGATTTTTATGCTATTAAATTACGAGGGGACCGAAAATACAGGTATGGAAAAAAATTCTACTAAACAAAAAACAAAAAAGACCTGCTGATGTCATAAAAACATCCAATAGCGTTTTAAAAATTTTACCGAAGTGAATTCTGTGAAATAGAAGTTTAGAACGATTTAATTAATTTCATTAAAAATCTCCCATAAAAAACAATAGCGCGATTAATTACCTAATTAATAAATTGTGATAAAATATTTTCGCGGCAGAAATAATTCATGAAATTTGCACAGATCACAGATAACGATGTATATATGCTGATCCATACATTTTCAGAAAAGTTATAAGTCAAGACTTTTTTTAATGGCCCTTTAAAGTCCATGCCC